CCTGCTTGTCAAGGTAAGGCTGCCGATCACATGTACAGCACCAAACAGGCCCCTGAACAGGCAGAGTGATTTGTGTGCCATATTTGCAGTGTTCACAGCAGTAGAATCATAGAATCATAGAATGGTTTGGGTTGGAAGGGACCTTAAAGATCATCTAGTTCCAACCCCCCTGCCATGGGCAGGGACACCTTCTACTAGACCAGGTTGCTCAAAGCCTCATCCAGCCTGGACTTGAAGACATCCATGGATGGGGCATCCACAGCTTCTCTGGGCAACCTATTCCAGTGCCTCACCACCCTCTCCGTGAGGAACTTTTTCATGATATCTAAGATAATCTAAATCTACTCATTTTCTGTTTAAACCCCTTACCTCTTGTCCTGTCAGTAAGTGGGCAAGGGACTCTTGTAGTCTACAGTGACATCCTAATACATTCTCACTTCCCAAGCATTAATCCCGGGCATGTTTCCATAGTAGGGAAAAATTATGTAGTCTGTTTTCTCCCAGGCTTTCTTTTTTTTTCCCCCCCTGCATGGTCAGATAGTTTCAGCCTCAGCCAGCACAGCTGTCTTTCTAATAACCAAAGGGTTTGAAAGCTGTTTTCACATGGACACCTACAGCAACAGAGCATGCTTGACTGCTAAGGACCTGGCATAGTGGAGCTGTGAAGCACTAATCTGCTTTAGCAGAGGTTCTTTGGTACCCTGTGAAATGTGTGTTCTGTAAATCTGAAAATGAGAAGCTCCCATTTTGGCCCTTCACAGTGATTTCTTACTCATTTTAAGATCATACTCTAAACACAGAGTCAACCTCTGTTCATGTAATCACGAAACATGAATGATTTCCATAGGGTTTAACCTGTGTACCTGCCACCAAGGACTAGCCTGCCTTTTAGAAGAGTGGAAAATTGATCAGAACCAGTGAAGTATAGCCTTGAATATCATAGAATCATAGAATGGTTTGGCTTGGAATGGACCTTAAAGATCATCTAGTTTGTAATGGTTTTGTGTGTCTATGAGGAATCCATGAAGCCTATCTGGCCCTAGGTTTTGTGTGCCTTTGCAGTAAGTGAGAGAATGGCCCTTAATCCTTACCGAATTTTACAGTGAGAAAGGCTATAGGATATTGCTGATTTCTGGGATGTACTTTCCTGTTCAGCTTAGCAAGTTTTATATAGAACATTGATTTACTTTCTTCTCTCTTTTAGTTTTGGTTGTTGGCTATAGCACTCCTCTTCCTTTTGGGCTTACGTACTTGTTTATATCCTATGAATAGACAGCACAATCCTTTATGCCCTTGCAAAGATATATTATGTTGTCTTACCAAACACAATGGGTAGAATGAAGAAATACCACATGACCATATTTCGTGGTCTGGAGTAGATTAACATTTTTTAATGAAAAACATAAAATCGGGATTCTTCATTGGTACACGCTGTTCGGTGGTTTTAAAATACTCTAACCATTTTTTTTTCCTTAGAACTGAATCAGGTAGCAGTCTTACTGCAAATCAAGCCCATATTGAATATGTTTGAACTTCTAACAGCAAAAGCTGAAAAGAGACATAAAAGCTTTAAAAGAGCATGTGAAAACAAATTGTAGAAGGCAGACAAAAATAGTTGTAAACATGGTCAGTGGGCTTACTTGGAACTTCTGCAGTTCACAGCTCAGTTCACAGCTTGTTCTGTTAAAAATAAGCTGCCATGGTTTTAAACTTAAACTAATGCAGCATGCTGCAAACTGTGTTGGAAAGCCTGGCCTGCTACTGCTGTTTGGAGTTGTCGTCTTCAGAAAGAGGAGGTAGATCTATAACCTTTTGTCTGCTGCAGCTAGACCTGATCTCTCTGATCTTGCCTTGTTGAACTCAAGAGAAACTGTATTCAATAGCAGTGATATTGAAATAAAGCCTTTGAACAAATCGGTGTTATTAAAATGAGGAGAGAATGCAATATAATGTTCAGCTGGCGTTGGACTCTAGTTTAAGTGATGTTTTTGGAAGCTGCAGTATTTATATTTCTCTTACGCTAACTTCCTAGCAAGGCCTGCGCCTTTCCAGGCGTCTTTGAAGTAAACACCACAAAGTCAGATGTTCTTGGCTGCAACAGAAAGAGGAACTGAAAGGGGGAACCGGGAACATGAACTTGGAACAGGAAGACAGTGTTTGCTCTACATTTCTGTCAGTCATAAAATCCAAGTGATTAACTATATCACTTTGGCTTGTATCTGGGGCAGCTGGGATTCCCAGATGGGCCCCCATTCACGTGGTGTGAAATGTGACCCTGCGTAACTTCCAACATTGTTTCAATAAAATAACTTACCTGTGATAGAGCTGTTAGCCTAAAATAGAGGTAACTCCAAGAGAAGCTTGTTTTTATAGTCTGGCCATAGCTCCTGTTATAGTCTGACAAGTGCCTTGTGTATTACATGCAGATTCCTCTAACACACTGCTTGCTAGCTTGTAGAATTAAGATGTCAGCAGTTTTTACCTTGTGCACCATTTATTTGTGCATCATGAACTTGTGTTTGTGCATCATTGCTAGTAAGCTTCTTGTCAGCCGTTAGACCTAGCCTAGCTTTGTGGGTGCTGTTCCGCAGAGGTTATTTTTTAAAGATGTTAACAACTTCTCTCATGTGATGTTCTTTCCATAGTAGGGTGGTTCCCTTATACAAGTGTTTTTCAAGGCATCAGACTAAGTCTACACTGTCCATTATAGAATTGCAGTTAGAACCTGATTACCAGTGGTTGAGGAGGCAATTAAGCATCTGTTTCAGGTGGTTTATTTTTGGTGGTAAAATTATGGTTTGTCTGGTTTCTTCATAGTTGCTTTACATACAAAGGTAACTTTTTTGGCAAATTCTGGTTAAAATAACCAATAGTTTAGACATGTATCTGTCAGGATAGTGTTTTTGGCTTTTTTTTCCCCTATGCAGAATGTAACTGTGATGCTGTTGGCTCAGTGGAGAATACATGTGGTCCTAGAGGTCAGTGTCTGTGCCATAGTAACTACGCTGGACTTAGATGTGACCAGTGTGCTCCAGGTTACTACAGCTATCCCAGCTGCTTGCGTGAGTAAAAGCCTTCCCCCCCTTTTACTGGGGTTTCTCTTCTGATTTCCCTCCTTTTACTGCGGTTTCCCTTCTGATTTCTGCAATACAGAAGAAAATACATTTTCTCAAATATATTTCCATCTAAAACTACCTCTGTGATCATGATAGTTTTGTTCCATCCAAAGCTGGCAAAAATAACACTGAAGATCCAGGCAGAGGCCAGCCTTCCTGGCAGGCACACACTCTGGTAGTCCTCCCTGGCACATCATAGCTGTGCCAGTGCTAGTTGGATTAATGTGAGCATGGCAATGTTTGGTCTTGGTGCAGTGGTAATCTTTCTTTTAAAATAGGAAATCTAAACCTTAGTCTGGGCAATGAGCATTTACCTTTATGGGTTCTGGCTCACTCAAAGAACATAAGTTGTGTTTCAACTTGTTTGGACTTCTAATAGCTGATACACTGTCCTGTAAATTTTTAAGTAAGTTCATTAGTGTGTGCTCTTGACATATGTCAGCATTGCACCATAAATCCTAGTCTAGAAGGCCTTGACTATGCAAATCTTCCATCATATCAACAAATTTTCCTGCCCATGTGGATCAGTTGGTCAGGCCCAGAATGTCTGTATAGGTTTTTCACATCAAGCAGAGGGAAATCTGCAGGCTCTGTCATTAAAATTAGAAGACTACTTGATCATCATGAACAGGAATTCTCTTTCCTAGAAATCAAAATATTAATAGTGCTAAAGAAGGAATGTATCCTCAGAATTCTGCTGTTTGTTATCACCACAACCACAGCAAAAAATAATCTGACAGGTTTGTTCTCTCTTTAGGAGACTGGCTACTACTTTACTAAAATAATCATCATTAGCCATTTCACGTTTAGCTGAGCCAAGATTAGGCCCCTGGGCTATAGCAGCATTGTTCTTTTTTTGTGGCATTATTGTTATTTAGCCTGTGTGTGTAAGTCACTGCACAACTGAGACCTTGCGTAAGGAATCTGAAACAGCAAGACTGTTGCATGGTGTATTTCAGAGATTGCTTCTGGCCTCATCTGACCTCAGATCTAAAGGTGTGATGGGCATACAATTTTATATTCTGTAATCTGCCATCATATTTTTAAATGCAGGCCTAGTTGCAGAACTTGCTTTGTGCTTTCTCTAACCATAAGATCAAGAAAGCAGAAGCCAAAACCAAGCCTGCTCTTAGGATGGGACAAAGGAGTTGAGGAAGAGAGATTTATTATGGTTAAAGATAATCCTACTTGTTTCTCTCAAGAGCAGAGGAAGAAAACAGTGTCATGATGGTACAGGTCACCTCAAACTCAGAGGTTCCAAAGAGGTTCATAGGAGAAGCTTGTGAGCTATTTATTGAAAAGAAAAATTAATAATACTCTAGACAAGTGGTATTGAAAACCTCTACAGTACTAAAGTTTTGGGAAGTTGTTGCTGGGTGTGAGCCCTTCCACCACTGTCTGTGTTTCATGTCATGCAGCTTGTCAGTGCTCTCCTGACGGTTCCCAGCACAGCACGTGTGAGCCGACGGTGGGGCAGTGCCAGTGTCGGCCGGGCGTCGCGGGGCAACGGTGCGACCGATGTCTTTCTGCGGCCGCCAGCTTCCCCCACTGCAAAAGTAACGCTTCTGAGGGAAAATCTTCTGTTGTGATTCGGATCTCCCCGTTTTTATTGCAGGGTTCTCCAGGGCAGTCTGCTGCATGCAAAGTTTTATGGAAAGCCCCTGAAGCATGGGAAGGGGGAAGGGGAGGGAGGGATGTACCAGGAGCACATATTAGATGAGCTTATTTGTCATTCTGCATGTTATTTCATGACACGAGCTTTAAGATTAAAACCTTTTTTAGATGATGGCACAGGAACTTTAAGAAAACATCTCTCAGTTCTGTAGGTTAGTGCTATGTTTTCCCAAGTAACTACTTGACATACCAAACCAAACAGGCTAAACCAGGCTAAATTCACATTTGAAAAATAATTAATAAAGGCTTCTGCTGGTCTTGAAGTTTAAAGCATTCGAGTCCCTCCAAGGTAACCATATTAAAAAGCCCTCTCAAAGTCACACCTGCTACATTGTACTTCTGCACTGCTGCATTCCACAGCTCTGTTTTCAAAAGATCTTTCAATTAGTTTCTTTTTTTAATTTCATAAAGGTGTGAACAGTGACTGTGACCCTTCAGGTAGCATTGGTTCTCATTCTGTAAGTATTCTACCATTGCAACTAACAATGCATGTTAATAGTAAGACCTTCTGGTTTTGGGTTGCCATGGGCCATTTCAGCATCTAATTGTTCTTGAAAAAAATTATCTCTTTGTAACTGTTGCTATTCCACTATTATTGTTATTAATACACTGATGGTTATTAATAGTAGCATATTACCAGAAATCACAGTCATTACTAAATGTGTAGCAAAGAAAAACTAGACGGTAGGTCTGACAGATGGAAGAAGTATCTATGTAGGCTCATGTACAGAGTTATTTGTGTCCTCCACTGACAAAGGAAGGCATAAATATGAAAATTAATTATTATTTTTAAGGAAATGTGTGTTTTAAACTTTTTATAAAACAGGTAATATTTAGAGCAGTTCTAATAAGGCTATAGAAGAATTGCAAAGGTCATCCATTGGGACACAGTATAAATTACTTACGGAAAAAACTGCTCAGGGTGGAACAATCCTGTGCTGATAGTATGAGACAGAAAAATCTGAATCAGCCAGAGTTTCCATGCATTTGCCTGAACTGTTAAAAATATTAGTTGTTTCTTAGTACTAAAAAGCAGTATGTTTTTTAGGAAACAGATGAACCTGTATTAACTCCTTTCTGTCATTAGGGCTATTGTCAATGTCTTCAGCATGTTGAAGGTCTTACCTGTAGTAAATGCAAACCGTTGTACTGGAACCTGGCCAAAGAAAACCCTGAGGGATGTACAGGTACGGCTTCATGACATATTTCTTTGGCTCATGGCATGTGTTAAATTCTTTTGAAAGTCATCTTTATTTGCTGTTGCCGACTTCGGTGCTCAAGGACTTTGACAACTCTTGTTAACAGTGTGTTTTTCGTGCTACTTAATTATAACACCAAATTACTCATGATCCCAGCAGTTACTTTTAGCAATTACAATTTAATGAGTGTTTGCTAGTGCTGGACCACGGTGTGCTCCGAGTTACAATGACATGTACTTCATATGGCCTTATGGCAGTTTTACTGGAGTGAGATGAGACTTCTGCCATTAACTCTGAAACCAGAATTTGACTCCTTGTTTTAAGAAAAAGGCACTTTTTCATTTATTATTATCTCCTAGCTTGTAGAGGAGTGAAAAAGGTGTTATGGTTTATGTCTATATAATACTGATCTATTTGCAATCTTCAGTGTTTGCTAATGGCAACTGTGTGTTTTTCAGGCAGATAATAATGATTTTAAAGATTAAAAAAATTAAAGATAAAAAAATATTTAAAGACTTTTTTTTTTCTCCCCAACTATTTTCTTTCCAACAGGTTCTACCACAACAGCCACCTAGATAGGATGAATAGCCTTAGAGCCAATTCCAATATAATTCCCTCCTTGCCTCTCAGTTTCTAAATAGTATACAGTCTAAACGTCTCCTCAAAGATTAATTACTGAATCTTTCATGTAATTCATCTTCTGTGCCTTCAGCCACAGAGTCAATACTGGGTTTCACCAAACCTCTAGGTCAGCACAGCTCTTTCCTGCAATATTTGCTTCATTTGTATCTCATATGAAGAGTTGCACTAGTCCCAAAGTAGCACTGCAGAAGAGAAGGTGCCAGTCAGTCTGGAAGACACTGTTTTGCATTAATTGTCTGGATGTTTCTAAGAAAGGATGTTTCAATTGTAAAACCAAGCTCAAGACTGTTTCTGCTAAACACAAGTTACAGCACCATAAAACACACCAGTAAATGGCACATGCACAGAAGGCCTCATTCCTTCTACTTTGCTTTTTCATCTCACCTTGTGTCAGTATCTGTCTGCTATCCTGAACCATCAAGAATAACATGCACCTTTATGGCATTATGACACAAAATTGCAGATTCAGGGTGTGGATTGTTTTTTTTTTTTCCTGAAAAGCAACTTGGAAAGACTAAATGCAGATTGTCTCTTTTTCATCTGTGCAGCGTGCCAGTGTGATGTGAGTGGAACACTAAGTGGAGTCGGAGAATGTCAGCAGGTAAAGTGAAATTAAAAGAAATACATTAATTAAATTTATTTTTGTGAAGATAAATTGTTGTAACATTTGGTTAGATAGACAGTTTAGTACTGATTATTGCTTTTGCACATGAAGTGCGTGGTTTCACACAGCAAAGAACCACTTTTATACAGAAGTTTTATACATCCTAGGGATTTGTAAAAGTTCTGAAAATTTTTAATTGTCTTGAGCTTCTGTATTTTCTGTTCATGGAAGATGATAAATGAAGTTTCATTATTTTTATTGAGATTAGAACATTTTTCCTCTTTAGAATTAGAGGGAATTTGAAGTACTGAAAAATTAAAATTCTAAAAAAGGTGCTGTAATACTTTTGAAATTGTCTTCTTCACAGGAAAACGGGCACTGTTACTGCAAATCTAATGTTTGTGGAGACTCCTGTGACACTTGTGAAGCTGGTTATTATGCTCTTGAAAACAAGAATTATTTTGGCTGCCAAGGTAAAAGGAATAAGGGACATCTCTAGTAACACACTTGCATGTAACACAAAAGTCTTTAGAACTCCTTAGGTTGTATTCTGAAAATGTGGCTGTATTTGTTGAATCACTCACATGCACAGCATTTTACACTCCTATTAATTGCCTGTGAGCTGAGTAATGCCTCCTTTGCCTTCCAAAGGGAGAAGGAGCAAGGCAGATGTTAGCATGATAGCTCCCAGCCATATTGTGGCTCTCTTACTTGAGACAAGGTGAGGAACTCCTAGAGTCCCTTATCCTTCACCTCACTTTCCCAGGTGCCTCATTTACCACCACGTGTCTGAGGCTTCTCTGTCAAAGCCGGCGGTGAGATCACACTATGAGCTGCTGAAGCTGTTATAGAATCATAGAATCATAGAATGGTTTGGGTTGGAAGGGACCTTAAAG